TGGTTTGGTACATTGGGCATTTTAGAGTATCAGACACTAAAGAAAGATAATTTGAAGTAAAATATGAAATTTTGGTACTACCACAATCATTAAAATGTATTTTTCTTTTATATTTTTGAAACTCCAATGACTGTCTTATATTGATAAGTGATATAGCAAATTACACCCAATACTACATGATCAGATTTTAATTTTCTACTCTTCTAAAACCTCAAAAATGATTAATGTGAATACTATACCTTTCCTACCCACACCTGGCATAATCCCATAGTTTAATTAAAAATACTTTTCTTTTTATTTGTTTATGGAACAAATTTTAATCAGCTTACAAAGTTTTATAAAAATATCTTAGTTTTTAAACATGTAAGGCAAAACATATGAATTTCATGATTTATTTTTACGTTTTGAAATGGATCAAACCCATAATTGAAATATTACTTGAAAGCCACACTTTATATCATATGGCTTTCTTATTAGGAGAGCTTATCAAAATAAAAGCATAATATTCGTCAAAGCTAAGCAGAGAAATGATCAAGCTTAATACAGATAATGATGATTGATAAGCTGCTGTCCTACCTGCAGATAATAGTACAAGCCTGTAGTTTTCATGTGCTCTCTCCTTATTCCTTTTCGCATTAATGTGAATTTTTTTTTTATCAAACTAATTTTGATAAGGAGGAGGAGCTTCCACAACATAACCCAGCCCTTAGTAAACTCAACCCATGTGGCTTCGTCTGACTCAACTAATCATTTAAACAGTTAAACAGAAACAAAAACCGATTGATTTTTGTTCTTCTACCATAATGTCTCACACAGGCTACACATTTTTTACTCTCTCTCTGATTTAAACGGCATAACTTTAAGTAGAATCTGTCAACAAATATTTAAATTCCTTTGTTACATTTAAAGTTAATAAAGAGATGTATGTTTGACAAAAACAGCTTTTTTTGCGACATACCGAAAACGAAGAGAGGAGGGTGCGCAGTCTCCACGGTAACTGGCGGTACCCCAAAATCAAAACCGGTTTAAATCCGATTACGTACGAATTCCGCAATTTAAGTCCGTGACAGTAAAAAAACGAACAAACAAAAAAGGCTAAAACAAATAAATACAGATGTCTGATGAAGTTACAGGAGTAAAGAAATGAAACCCAGCTGTTTTATCACACACTTTTATAAAGAGGTCTGTGTTTTCCAGCGCTCAGCTGAGTGGCCGATTTAATCTGTGACGTCACGCCGAGAGTATTTATAAAAGCTTATTACCGTAAAGACGACAAAACGTTTTTTTTTTTTTTGTTTTTTTTAATGAAACTTCATTATAAACTGTCATTTTCGGCTTCTCATCAAGATGAGCAGCCATAAGTTACAATGTTATGTTATAAACCGTGAATAATACTATCTCACGTTAAAATATAAAAAAATCATTACATTACATTTATATTTTTTAACCTGTAGGACTTTGAGATGTTTTGATGAAAAGCGCAGCATAAATTAAATGTATTCTTATCATAATAATAATAATAATTATTATTATTATTAATATTATTATTATTATAAACAGTGCACAGCTTTCAAGAATAAAGAAACTTGAGCAGAAATAGCCACAAGCATTTAGTTCTGTGATAAAGTTCTGTGATAAAATATAGACAAAGGCAAAAAACTAAACTTAATATCTGAGACATTGGTTTTCATAAAAGTAAATGCGACAGCTTACAACACATACCCTCTCTGCAGCCCCCCTATACCATGAAAGAAGCTGAATAAACTATAAACCAGAATAAAGTTCCAATCAGTTCTATAATAAAAGTTTTTTTTGTCCAGTATGGATTTATAGATTACAGTTGTTTTATACAATTATTTTTAGTTATATAGAAACATTTTTTTTAAAAGCAGTCTAGATCCCTATCAGTCAAAAATCCAATTAGTTTCAATCCGAAGCTGCTGATTTTATAGCAGCTTCAGCAAATAGAGCCATGTTTATATTAACCTTGATCCAGTGAAACTTAAAACAAAAAATTAACTAATCTAATTAGAGATATGAAAATATGTAGACAAAAATTACCTTATTGTGATGATTTTGCTACACAAAGTCAAGATCTAAATTAAAACCAGTTGACTTTACAAATCATTTTTACATGCCTTACTTTTTGAATTAAGTGCATGAACCAAAAAATAACTTTATTGATTAATATTGTGTTGGAGTGTAACAAGCTGACTTTGACTGTCCTATTAGTGGAGCTATCTACTCTGTAATCCAGCTATCAGTAGATTAAGAGACATGCTCTCTGGCATATCTAATAAAGTCTTAGGTTACCTGAATAATAATAATGGTGCATGGTGCTATTTTCATTTTCACATCATATTGCTCTGTGTTTGCTACCCTTTAAAATAGATATGAATAGCTGACATTGTCTTTCTTGTAAGTGAGGGTCAGTCAGATGAGCAGCAGTGAGCAGCAACATTTGAGAAGGCATTGCTCTGCTCCCATTCTGGCATCTGTCTATAAAAGAACTTTGTAAGCCATTATACTTGTAACCGGCCCAAAAATGTTGTTTTAAAAGCAGAAATAGGATGTATCAATGCATATGATCGGTCACCTTAAACAGATACGATTACCCATTTAAACATTTTAAAACTATATAATTAAGGTCTCTGGTTTAGACTAATATTCAATAAAAAAAAAAAAAACATGTTCATTTATCCTCTTGTGTAATATCATTAAAAGTATAGTTTTTCAAGTTTGCATTTCTGAAAGTACAGTCCAAAACAACAGCAATATCCCTGGCACGAGACACGGATAAATTCACAATAAAAACTAACGTAAATTTAAAGAAATCTGGGTTCTCCATCTTGGTACCAGTCGAGAGGAATTTCCATCAGTACCATCACAAAAACATGAAGTTATTAAACTGTTATCAGCACATATAACCATAATATTTTTGACAATGGGCCTGGGGAAGATTTTGTGGGTTTAACCAGTGATTTATTTATTTTCCTGTAAATGCCTGGACACAACAATTAGAATGCCTCTTGTCACTACTGTTGGTATCTGCATGCTGTGCTCGATTTCCGAGGCATCCCTGGGAAAGCCCTCGTTTGAAACTCTACTTCCTATGTGATTCAAAGCATCACCAGGAAAGATTTCATAGATGGGTCTTATGTATAAAAGCTCTCCTCCAAAATTCAGATGTTAGTGTTTCTTTTGATTTTTTTTTATCTTGGCAACGCAGTGTATGCATCTATGTATCATGAGTTCTAATCACATGAATTATTTCTTATGTAGTTTATTTATGTCAAGCCTGTATTCATGAAAAGCAAGAAAAAAGGGAAGTTGTGCAATTTTCTTTTTTTTTTTTTCCAGTGAATGAGGGAGAGAGATATGTCAGTACAACTGCAAGAATTGCAGTGACTAACTTGGTGACTAATCCAGTCAGTTAAGTCAAAGTGAGTTCTCTTATTATCTATTTTACATTCACATTGAAAAGTAAGCTGATATTTAAATGTATGGGTTACCCCTCTCAAAATATTAAAATAATATATTTGAACAGTATCAAACTCTGCATCACACTGATAACGCCAAACAAAAAATACTGCATATTTACACCATATATATAAATGCTCTGGACTTCCATATCAATGCACTTTCTGCGCCATGTTTTTCTCCTACACTGTTTACATTTGATCACTGCTACACTTTATGGAATGGAAATGTTCATTTACTGTCTGAAAAGCTGTACTAAACCAACTTTTGTTTTGTATACGCTCTTTATATACAAAATGACAATAACAGTTGTCTAGGCCTAAGCCTAGGTCTAAGTGATCTGCATTAAGTTCTAAATGAGGAAAATTAATTTTATTTAACTTTTAAGCTCTGGGGAAAAAATCACAGAACCTATATATTGAGAATATTTGTAGGAAACAATATTGAGAATATTTGTAGAAAAAAGAAGTCCATCCTGACCACTCCTACAGGGTGCAAGAGAGAAGGTTACAATTCTGTGCTGAACAATTAAGTGCACTTCATTGACTGATCATTTATATTATCCTTGTTTGGTACATAGAGGGATGTGTTGACACAATGTCAAGATGGAAAGACCTTAGTAATGACTAGAAGCATCTTTTCCCACAGTCTGAGAAGGGTTAGAATGGAATTTCCAAACAATCTAGATACAATCTAGATACCACTTTTCTAAATAGAGAAGGATTATTCAAAAATGAAAAACACATAAAGGGACATTTACAAAACTTCCTAGGGGTGGATGTGTCATCAAATTTACCTGAAGAGCATAATGTGCTGCACTGAGAGATAAAGGGAGAAAAAAAATGTTAATCTCATCAGTATATCACTTTATAACATGGTGATTGCTCAAGGTAATAAAAAGACAAACTTTATTTTTTTTAATGGTTTTTGTTACGCCATTTATACATATTGATTTTATGCCAACTTTTTCAATTCCTGCTTAATAAATGCTGACAGCGTGGAAGCAGTTATGTGTTTTGTGTACCCTTGATGTTGGTGGAGAACAATTCGTTTTATGTCCTAATACAAAAATTCCCACAACTGAAAGGCTTCTTTTAGAAGCTGTTGTCTCTGTTTTCTAACTCCACTACATGTACATAATGTGAAAACTGTTTTTTTCTTTATTTGCAAACCTTTCCAGAATAAAATCACATTTTTTCCAGTTTATTAATTTATCTCTTCCCATCATTTCTTGGGTTACCTTTAAGATGTGCAGATTTTCAAACTTTTCAAATTTTAGTTCATCACTAGGGGGAGCTATTTCTCTTCCAGCTCACTGCAGCGCTGCAGTCTACATGAAACTATAAACATTAACACTGGCCGGTAAACCATCCGGTCTGTACAGCTTATAACTTTTGCTGTGATCAAGCATAAGTTGTTGCTTGTAACTGAACCCCAAAACAACAAATTAATTGGTTAATAAATGGAAATTGTTACAAGCAACTTATTTTGAAGGCCTGCTCCGGAAGTAACACAATATGGACTTCCGTTACCAGCACTGCAGCTTACCTAGCTTTTATTTTGATAAACAACCTCAAATCTCTCTCTGCTTGTTATCTATTTCCTCTTAAGCCCGACACCTGAAAGTATTTTAGGTATGTAACTTCTTTAAGTATACACTTGGCCATAAATGATAAGGAACGGATTCAAACAAATTTTTTGGAGAAGGAGCAGGGGAAGCTGTTTAATTAGGTTAGCCATATTAGCCCTCTCAATAGCCAGTTTAACAAAACAAAAACAAAAAAAGAAAACGAAATAAAGAGGCTACTTCAAAGTCTTTCACGTTACACATTGCCAAACAGGCTTGTTATCGAAATAATTAGCGAATTAATGTATTTGCCGAGGCTAATGTCAACGAAAATTAGACTTATTTACTATGTTGTAGGGACAAGGTCACTATAACGTCAACAAATACAGCCGTTAGTCACGTGCGTAAGGTGTCATATCCGTTACTTGTGTTTTACTTGCTAAATAACTTTCTTACTTTATGTTTTGCTTCTTTGTCAGTTTCCAACATGGGCTTTCTAATGTCTAAATCCATGGATGCAAACTTACAGAAGCAGCAGGAGTTCATGCTTCACAATTCACGGCTGCAGGTAAGAACAGGTGACAGCAGGCCTTCTAAAACTGGCAGTCATTGCTACCCTTTTTCACCTGATGCATCCGTTCATTTATAAAGAAATAAATGAAAAATAGTGCAGGTTGGTGGTGATAGGTTAACATACTATGGCTGTAACTAACGATTATTCTCCAAATTAGTAATTGGAAAGCAAAAGATTCCTTAAAGAAGATTTTTTACAAAATTAAACCAGGTGAAATTCAAATTATTCCCCTTGAGGTGTTCTGGATAGAGCATGTTGACAGAATAATTACTATATATATATTTTTTTATCTTAAAGTCGTAGGGAAGTCTTAATTAAATGTCAAATCGTCCTTGCTTAAACATGTATATAAAATGTACTCTTTATCAGACAATATTGTCCCAAAAGTTAAAAAATTTCTATAAAAAAAAAAAATCCTGCCTTAAAATCTGTGGGGTTTTTTTTTTCATTATTTTATGTAGGCCAATTAGTTATACGTCAGCTTATGCACCTAAATTCGGCCTATCATATGTCAACGGTCATCTGTCAATCAACTTTTTTGGCCTTAGCATCTTGATTTATATGTCGCAGCTAATATACGCAACGGTTGAAATAAGAAATAAGAATAATTTACCTTACCATTGAGTTCTGTCCCAGTGTTCACGGGGATGGACGTCTGTGTCTTCGGCAGGCGTAGAGCTAACAGAACTGGCAACGATGCGAGGAAAGGGCTCAAACATGTAGGGCTGTAAGCCTTCTACACCAAACCAAGCTTTTGCCACCCTGGCGTCCTCTTCCACAACATCATCGTCCCCACTTTTCTCCTTTAAATAAAAACTGTATGACGGAGGAGACTCGTCCACGACCTCCAACACAGATTTCTCCTCCTCTTGCATGTTTCTGCTGTCCACAGTGTTCCTTCACAGTGTCGTTTCTAAGTGCTACTTGGTCCCAATGTAATTTCCCATTGGGAACCTGCTAGCACCAAGTTGCTAACTGGTTAGCAAGATGCTTCCGACAAACCGGCCACAACCAAACATGCTTGCGAGCCTTCTGCCACAACAATCGTGCCCTTTCGATAATCGACCAATCACATTCAATTTATTCACTCATGTAATGTCGGCACCACTCGGGAGAATTCAGAAATGTTTGAACGGCCGTTTTCCTACAACTTTAGATGAATAATGTTTACTTGTTTACAATCTTGGTATAATTAATACTCTAAGGAGGTCGCTCTGTCAGCTATAGGCATGTTTTAGAGTCTATACTCCAGTTAATGATTAATCTATAACTAAATTAGTTGACAATTATTTAAATAAGGGATTAATCATGATTAAATGTTTCAGCCCTATAACTGATTATGTTTTATATTTTTACATTCTTTCTGCATGGAGTTTGCATGTTCTCCCTGTGCATGCGTGGGTTCTCTCTGGGTACTTCGGCTTCCTCCCACAGTCCCAAAACATGACTCTTAGGTTAATTAGCTACTCTAAATTCTCCTTAGGTATGAGTTTGTGCATCAATGGTTGTTTGACCTGTTTGTCTCTGTGTTGCCCTGCGATGGACTGGCAACCTGTCCAGGGTGTACCCCGCCTCTCGCCCATTGACTGGAGTTGTGCAATTTACTTTTTTTTTATTTAAAAAGTCAATGTATAACATGGATGCATAAAAAACTAATTTTATTTCAGTGTTGAATTCTGTTTAAAGTAACCGATTGTAATTAAAAATGTCTCCGGACCTTTACTGGTTTTGATTTTCTTTATGTGGACCCCGCTGATTTTTAGTTGGTTACCCCTTTTTTAGAGCAAAGTATTCTATTTGATTTGATTTCTAAATTATCTGATAACTGTTTCATTCCTAGTCTTAATGATGTTTTATGTAAAATCTTTCAAACCTCTGCAGCCTTAACAGAAAAGCTGCATTTATACCAAGATTAAACTGTGCATATATAGCCAGAATTTAATAATTAGGCAGCTTCAGTAGGTTATTAGTTGGACCCATAGATTTTATTTAGGAATTGGAGCTTAAAGACGGACGGAAGAAAAAAAAGAATCGATGAAGACTCCTAAGGTCTCATAAGTGTATTCAGAATACTACAGCATGGGTATCGTAATATTTAAGGATACTTTCGTACATCAGAGTTCAGCTTATGATGAAACACTGATCTGACCTATCCATTGGGTATTTACTTATGATTCACAAACTCATGCTGTCAGTTTCCCTCGTGTCTCTGCATTTCTGTCTGCATAAAATAAGCTTGCACTGATTATTATTTTTCTGTTTTTTTTCCATGTTTTTTTTTTTTTTATTCAAACAAAAACTATTTTTTTTTTATTTTATTGTATTTAACACCCTCCGTTCTCCACTAAACAATTTCCTATGATTTATTCAACCCCGTAAGCTGCCGAGAGCAGCAGGTGGGATTTGAGAGTGTCATAATGTCAATGAAATTATCACATTTAGATCCCAAAAGGGTTGCTCTGTTTTCTGCACCTGAAGTCTTCTCAGCCTTCCCAGCTTTAAACCAGGAGGATGATGACTAATACAACACAATGCAATGTTGGAGAGGGTTTGTCAATTGGATTTCACGGCACCCTCATATGGGTCCTGGAGATGACTCATTGAAGGATATTGGATGCATTTTTTCTTTTGTATAACTGAAGCTGATCTGCATTGTTTCATCGGCTCAACTCTCTTTAGTTACTTTTAATTTTTATAGTTCACACAGACCCGCCTTGTGTACTGTTAGAAAATTAAACAGCTAATAAAATAAATTAAATATCAAAAGTCAAATGTCCAGGGTTATTGAGGGTGAGAGCTCTTAATTTTTCAATCATCTAAAATAATTGATCTACTTTCAATTTTTCCATTAAAATTTCATTTGACATCACTTAATTGAAGGAGTCAGAGTGACCTTATATGCTTTAAGATGTTACCTCCCCCCCTGCATTAAGATGTCAAGAATGTCCTCCTGTCTGTCTTTTTAAGTCCCATCAGTCATTGCTAATTGATCCTTGTCATGCTTTTGCCTAAAGTCAAAGTCACTCGGTCATTGTGTTTGGATAATGGCTCCCAGCCAGAGATCTATCATAACATGTACCGGGTATGGGTCTGATTTTTATGACGCATGCCTTTAAAACTAATGCAAGCCATCAAATGACGTATGCATGCTCTTTTATTTAGCCTTTTTTTTAAACACATTTTGACTGCTAAATGTAGAGCTGTGGGCTTTTCATATACAATTGTTTTTCTTAATCTGAGCAGGCAGTTCATCTAAAGTTTTGGGTTTCATTCAACACATTGGGCTGATTTGGAAAAATGAAGCATTGAAGCAGTGTTTAATATCCCCATCGAAGCTCGATTCCTTCCGAAGAGCTCATCTTTCCCTTTATAGCTGATCAGACAGTGAGAAATTGAACACTTTTCAATTTAAAGAGCTGCAGAGTCTTAAAATAGGCACAAAAATCAGATGAGGAACATTCTTTAGACATGTTGATTTGTAGATGATACGACTCTCAATTGGATTTCAGCACAGCCGTTTTCTATAACTGCTTAGGATCGTTTCTAAGAGGAAAAGCGCTTCTGCATTTTCTGTTGTGACATGTAAAAGTCAACGTTCGGCCAATAGGGAAGTTACAGTTACACAAGTATTATGGAAACAGAGTTTCACAACTTTTAAGAGAAAACCAAAAGAGTAAACTGTAGTCCCAGGAATTTCACTCAGTTACTTCTGTAGCCTTTGTTTAGATACTGCATTTTAACAGGGGGGAGCTTGACGAGATGGTTAGAGCATCAGGATTGTTGGTTGGAATCTCCTTGCGGGTCAAACCTCTGTGAAGTTGACATGATCTCCCTGTGGTACTGTGGGGTTTCCTCCTGTTCTCCATCCAGAACCCAAAATATTTGCGTGTGTGATTCTGATTTTAAGGCAGTTTATGGTTACAGGCATGAACGATGAACACTTTTACCTTTTACAGTGCCTGTATTGTTACCTTACAGTTGAAAGGTATCCTTTTAGATACTGGCACAGTTGCTCGATTAGAGATGTTTTCTGATAAAGATTTAATTCCATAATATTAATATTAATTTCCTCGAAGCAGGTAATCTGGTTCGCCTTTTACAAAAACCTACAACAATCGGTGGTGTGTTATAAGGTAGCATTGTTATATTATAGGACTTAATACACCAAAAGCTCACTACAGTTCAATACAAAGTTTTTATACATATTGAATATTCTCTATCTATCTCAAGTTTTCCCACGCACTATAGTTAAAATGACTCTATCGCAACCATCCAGTACAAATTTGCATGACGAAATTAAGCCGTCTGCATCTATTTCACTGGGAGCTTTATTTTTCCCACACAATTTAAATGCATCATAAACCCCTGTTCTAAACAGGATTATTTTCTGCGTGTCACCAATGCACACTATTGCTTAGCAGGTGTTTCAGCTAAGCAATATATGGCAGCGGTTTATATTGCACCTTTTGTTTGCCGAGGATGTCAAACAAAAGGTGCTAATTTGTAAGACATGCCACAAAAGCCATTGCTGCAAAAGGTAACAGTACAAATTTATTCCACCATCTAAAAAGTAATCCGCTGCAAAACGAAGAATGTTGTAGACGCATGTTAGCGTCAGCACACTAATCAAAACATTAAATAAATCAGCTGTGAACCTGATGACGTTTGCCTCATCGATTGAAAAAGTGATCCTATAAGAGAGGAAAAGGAAAAGATGGAGGGAAATAACAGAAATTATTTATTACAGTATTAAAATTTCTTTTTAGATACTCTAATACCTGTGATGTGATCTTGTTCAGAGGTTTTGCAGATGTTCTCTAAACTTTGCAATATTATCAATTTTACAACTTTTTGTGCTTCTTAAAAATTCTAAGCACGTAAAGGTCAATGCAAATAGTTTTTAAATGGTCTAATAATCCTCTAATTTTGGACAGTATTTGTCAGTTTCTTTTGTCATTCTGCATTTTTTTTATTACCGTATTTTCACGACTATA